GAGTTCCTCCCTCTGGCGAGCATTTTAGGCAAAGGAGTGGGTGGTGAAAATCATGGCCTTTCTCTATGGATCAATCCAAAGACTCTCCCCTTCGTTTGCTAAATGACCCCTGATGTTACAGCCACCTCCGGAAGCTGCAAGTTTCCTGAAAGCTGAGGTTGAGGAAGGGTTGGTTGGTTGGTTAATTGCTTTTAAGAAGCAGTATAATGGGCCTTATTACTTAATTGACAAAGGGCTTGACTGGTGGAAAATGAAGCCTCCTTGCCTCAAAGATGTTTGCAATTAGTTTTCTTTAAAACAGAAGAGAAATGTTCTTGAATAATCAAAAGAACAATAGCAATAGTAGCAACACCCCGAGTTACAAATGAACTGAGGAGACCTAAAGCCTCCCTTAAACACACACTTACAGGGGCATTGCCTTTCCCCGTCCGGAGGAAAGAAAACTGATGCTCTTCCCCTCTCACTCAATGCCCTCCTCACAAAGTCTTGCTAACCCTGCCTCTGTAAATATTTCATTATTTACAGGTGTGTTGGTTTATTCATGCACCTGCCCAGCATCCCGTGATCTCTCTGTGTGGAGCCTGCGTGTGACTAGTTGGTTGCAGCTGGTGCTAATGAGGCCCGAGCCTAGGTTCAATCCCCAAGGGGGCCAGTTAACTTCACCTGCTCCATGGCTAGAGGCTGCACTCAACAGCTCTGAATGAAGCTTGTGTTGTATGTACTGGGCGAAGGGCAAACGGGTAGAGGGAAAGGAGGAGATGGTTCAACGTGTAGTCCCAACGTCTGCTGGAGAAACAGCCACTGCCCTTAGCACCTTCAACCCCTGCAAAGGTCAGCACTGTGTTTTTTGTTTTTTTCCCCAAGATTGCTTCTTTTATCCTAAGGTTAGAGGACGTGGGCATGTATGTTTTCAAATTTCCCCTTTTTATTTAATTGGCAAGTATTACATCTTATGAGTTAAAGAGTAAGGCACACTTTTTTTGCCTCAATTCCTTTGGGCATCCATTATTCATTTACTAGAACACACAGCCTATTGGAGAGGTGCATCTGTGGACATCAGAAAAAAAACTAGGTGGAGTTACAGATGGTGGCATAATGTTTAGTGAAAATATTCAAGAAAAAAATTATTCACTCAACAAATATTGACTGCCTATTATGTCTCAGGCACTAGAGATACAATAGTGAACACAATAGATTTTAAATTTTCTGCTCTCTGGAGCTTAAATTCCAGGGGGAGAGGGTGGTACAATAGATAGTAAATAAGAAAAGGTGGTAAAAAAATATGTATTTTACATGACCATAAGTGAAGAAGAAGAATAGAGCAGGAAATGGACAGAGGTCACTAGGAAGGGTACTCCAACTATAATAGGATGGTCAAGGTAGACCTCAATGAAAAGTGATGTTAGGGCAAGGACCCGAAGTGAGGGAGAGCGAGCTGTGTAGCTAGCAGAGGGAAGAGCAAAGGTGAGAATGGCAAGGAGGGAGCATGCGTAGTGCCTGGCGTGTTTGAGGAACAGCCAGGCAGGGGTGCAGTGTGGCTGAGGCAGAGGGAGTGAAGGGGAGGCGATGTTCCTGAACTGAACTGGGGTCTGCTCACCTGCTGCAATAAGGTCAAACATCCACAGTGAGGTTTGCAGGGGGAGAAAGGAGGGCATTTAGTTGCAGGGCACCAGGTAACGTTGATTGGGCAGCTCATGCTTAAGACGTGACCCCTTGCAAAGGTTTGCAAGCAAGAGTTTTTAAAGGCAGGGGAAATTTTCAGGAAAACAAGTTAATACAGGCAAATTTAAATCAAGACATGGAGGTTGTATATCGGTTTGACCTAAAAAGGTGAGATACCTTGAAGCGGGGGCTTTACAGATCTTAGGTGGGTTCACAGATTTTCTGATTTGCAATTGGTTAAGGAAGAGCAGCTTTGTTTAAACATTTGGGGTTAGCAGAAAAGAATGTTAGCTCTGGTTCACAGGTGTGACTTATTCCAGGCCCATCAGGAAGAAAGAAAGAACGAAGAGCAGCAGTCGGAGTTCAGTCCCCGGTTCCCCCTTATCCAAGGTCTGTGTGCCAGCAGATACATTTGGTGGGGGTCCAGGTTTTTGAAAAACAACTCAGGGACATACATCAAGAATTAATCTTTAGTTTCTCTAGGGAACCAAACATCCCGTGACTCTAACTTCGTTGGCTATTGTTTTAGGCTACTATTACGTTCTTGCTGATCAAATTGCTCATTTACTTCTCAGGGCCAGCTCAGTGCCTGCAATTTTCCTTGAAGGAACTTAAGATTTTTCATTCCATGCTTGTGGTGGTGGTGAGGGGGGCACAGACCCCTAAGAGGGATCCCTGCTCCATCTCAGGATGGGAGATGCAGCCAAGAAAAAAGGGAGGAAGGAGAATCAGGTGGCGTCTACAGGCCCTTTTCTAAGGCTTTGACCTCTTTCTCAAAAAGTTAGAAAAGCCTTCATCAAAGATGTTGCTTCTTAGATCCCAGGGGCTGATTAGTGTTAACTCATTCATCTGCACTCCAGCTGAAGCAGGTGTTGCCAGACTGACCGTGTAATTTGCGAGATAATGTGTGTGTACCAGGCTGTGTTTTCCGACTTGAAGACAAAGTGGAGTTAGCATCTGCTCCTGCCCCTCCCTCACCCTTCCCCTCCCCACGCACTCATACACACTACCGGCCTGGGAGTCATATGAGGCTTATATGGTCCCACCCTGGGGGCCCACACAAGGAATGGGATTAGTTTGCCCACCAGCCAAGCAGGTGGGGGCTCAGAACAGATAAAGGGTTGTGTCATTTCTTGAGCCGTAGTTACAGACGTCGGCTCATGCTTGCTAAAGAAACAAATGAAAACCGGCAAGGCAACCTCAGGGCAATTGAATGAAGGCGAAAGCAAACACTTCCCGGGTTCCAAGCAGGAAGGAGCCACGTGGGGGCTACTTTGAGGGGCATGGAGGAAAAGGTAATTATAGAAGACTTTGAGGAGCAGATAAGATTTGAGTGGGTCTTGAAGCACAGGTGAGTGTGAATCTTCAAATGGGAGCGAGAGCATGACAAGTCATTGTCCCTTTGTGAGGGGTGGTAGGAATTTTTGGAAATGTTCAGGAGTCACGAAGAGGACCGTCTAGGCTAGAATGGAGTGGCTGTGTAGGAAAAGGGCTGGCAGAGAGTGAGGCAGATTGTGGAAGTCCCGGAATGCCAGCTGGAGAAGTTTCGACTTTTGCTGAGGGCGATTCTCTGCTTTGGATGGCAGGACTGTAGCTGACAGAACCATGTCTGTTCCCGTATGCATATAAGTGTGTGTGTGGTAGCCTTGCCAGATATAAAATGCAAGAGAAACCCTGTTAAGTTTGGATTTCAGATTAACAACAAATAAGTTTTCAGTATAAGAATGTCCTGTGAAGCCAGGCACGGTGGTTCATGCCTGTAATCCCAGCACTTTGAGAAGCTAAGGCAGGTGGATCACTTGAGGTTGGGAGTTCGAGACCAGCCTGGCCAACATGGTGAAACCCCAGCTCTACTAAAAATAGAATTAGCTGGGCATGGTGGCGGGAGCCTATAGTCCCAGCTGCTAGGGAGGCTGAGGCAGGAGAATCACTTGAATCCAGGAGACGGAGGTTGCAGTGAGCCAAGATCGCGCCATTGCACTCTAGCCTGGGCAACAAGAGTGAAACTCAGTCTCAAAAAAAAAAAAAAAAAAAAAAAAAAAAATCCTATGAAATATTTGGGACATAAATACAGGATGCCCAGGTAAATTTAAATTTCACAAAAATAATGTACAATTTATTTTATTTTATTTTTTTGAGACAAGGTCTCTCTGTCACCCAGGCTGGAGTGCAGTGGCGTGATCTCGGCTCACTGCAACCTCCACCTCCTGGGTTCAAGCTATTCTCTTGCCTCAGCCTCCTTAGTAGCTGGGACTACAGGTGCCCGCCACGACAACAGGCTGATTTTTGTATTTTTAGTAGAGATGGGGTTTCATCATGTTGGCCAGGCTGGTCTTGAACTCTTGACTTCAAGTGATCCGCCCACCTTGGCCTCCCAAAGTGCTGGGATTACAGGCGTGAGCCACCGCACCCAGCCAAACTATGTGCAAATTTTAAGTATAATTATGTCTTGCAATATTCGGGATGTTGTTGTGCTAAAAAAAATTCATTGCTCATATGAAATTCAAATTGAACTGGACATTCTGTATTTTTATTTGCTAAGTCTGGCCATCAGTATGTGATGCTGAATAAATGCTACTTAGCAATCCTGTGAACTCCAGGGCAGAGTCCCCACCTGTTACACGAACTAGCCTGGAGAGTTCTGCCACCAGAGAGCCAATTTCTCAGCCACCTTTGGGTGCTGGCTCAGCTCTGTGATGGCCCAAGTTTATGAGTTACCTGTGAGAATATCTGGGCCCCCAGTTTTCTCAAGAGTCAGCTCCAGATCCCCAATTCTGCCCCCCCAAATCAAGGAATAGGAGCCCTGGATTTTTCCAGCAGCAGCTGGAATCAATAAGCAGCCCTGATGGGTGGGGTGGGCTGGAACACAGCCTGCTACCTTGAGCCCTGCGGTATTGATCGCGCAGGCGGCTGTCCGTAAACCAAGCAGGCATGCTGAAATGGGGTACTGTTGTCAGCCTTCACTTTCACAGGGATGACTCTTCAGATTTCTCTCAAAGCCTGCCGGGCTCAAAGGGAAAACCGGCAAATTCTTTTTTTTCCCACTAATGTAATGCCTTGGGGAGCTGCTGCATTACATTCTTTTTTTCTTTTTTCTTTTTTTAGTGCATAGTTGCGGGGGTGGAAGGCAGAAACCACAACAATCCTCTGTCTTTTGGGACTCTCTCTCTTAAATGTGGTCCATCATTCAGTTTTAAGAACTGAAGCACAAAATATAAAAACTAAAGTCATTTTTTATCGAAAGCCTCAAATGTACTGGGCATGAGAGTGAGCAGTTTGTATGTCTTGTGGTGTTTTATCCTTCTGATGATTCTCTGAGATTGATATTTATTACTATTCCCATTTTACAGATTCAGAAATGGAGGCTCACCCAGGCTACGTAATTTGCTCAGGACTGTGCATCCCGCAGTGAGTCTGTGCTATGGTCCAAACCCAGGTCCGTTTGACTTCTAACACTACTGTCTGCTCAATGAGCCCAAGACGTTGCAGACACGGCTGGCTTGTCATCCTATTTGTCCTTTCAGATTCCTGAGTGATGAACGTCCTCTGAGAAACTGTCGCTAGTTGCTCTGAAAAAAGCCGGTACCTCACTCTGCCCTCAGATGACTTTCTTCCCACCTGTGTGTTGTAGAACCTCCCTGTGGGGCTGTAAAAACACACCCACCTTTCTGTGTCCTCGTTAATCCACAAGGTCCTGCAGGGCAGCGGCAAAGCTGTTTTTCTACCAAGTGTGCTCCTCTCTAGCTGCAGAGACCAGACTATTGTTCAGTACACAAGCTCTGTAAATATCTGCTCGTGGTTATTACTGTTTTGAAATCTATTTTCCCATTTGTTTAGGGAACTTCAAGGATGCTGTCCTGTAACCATGTTTCATTGTGATGCCGGTCTTCCGCATTCTTACCTATGTTTTTTACACTGAGTTTTGTATTTGCCTATCCTCATTGAGGACTCATCTGGCTGGTCCTTACCAATATTAATAGAAAGTTCTTCCATGGTTGAATGACTGAACAAGTGTGGTTGCCATGATGATTGTATTTGTACAAATCCAAATTGGTCTTCTCAATGGTTCTTCCCATGATTTGGTGGAAGGGTATAGCGGTAAATGAACCCAATGGGTAGCCAAACTTCCTGCACTTGGGATCTCAAGGTCATTTTTTTTTTTTAATCACAGTGATAAAGGCGTCTCTTGGTGACTCAAGAGAAAGAGAGTTGTCAATGAGAGAGGGTGAAAGATGACAGAGTGGCTCTGATCCTACCTTCTCACAAAAGCTTCTTAGAAAAGTCAACCTACTTTTGAGAGGAGCACAGGTTCTCACAAAACCCCTTCCAGGAAATGGAGAGGCAAACTTTGCCGTGATTCTGCTTCCAGGAGTAAACATGTGATCGCACATGTACTCTGCCCCTTCAGGGATGAAAGAGCTATGAAGCTGATGGTTGATCCTCAGGGACAGACATTGGCTGAGAGGATTGGATGGATTTCAGGTCTGCCCACCTGAAGCCCAAATGCTAAGGAAGTCTCTAAATGGGGATTAGAGCATCTAAAATTTTTTTTATCTTTATGCTCTTCTGTAGGTCTGAGGCCCTTCAGACTAACAGTGATCCCCCTGTCACATTAATTCTTCTCACATAGACTGTTTTTCTTATAGGTCCTATCTGGGGCAAAGACGACTATGACAGAAATCTCAGCTTGTTCTTGCTGACAGAGTTAAATTTGGTCTGTGTTTCCTCTGCACAAGAAGAAAGCCTGAACTGTGCTCAACAACTGTCTTGAGGGCACATCCAGAGCCGAGTTTGTCTCTCTCATGTTCCTCCTTTTATTGTTTTTGTTACTGTACATATTTCAGTGATGTCAGGATTTTTTTTTTTAAGCCTCCACCTTAGGGGAAGCTCAAGAAATGGTCTGTGTTAGCACTGGTGAGGCCCAGACAGTTTTATGCATATAAGCCTGGCTGTTTATTGATCCCTTGGAATGAGAAACCAATTGGAATATCCTGGCTGTGAGAAATATAACCCTTGACCAGCCAAAGTCATTTGTCTGCCTTCCCTGTTGAAAGAAGCACATTTAAAATTTCTCACCTGGGAGAAACTTCCTGGAAAGATTATTTCATGCAAAAGAATACACTTCTTGGACCTGAGTTGCAATTTGGATTAGAAAAAAATGACCTTGTTATGTCTGAGCATATATTTTTGTTAGAAGCCATTCTGAGAACAAGAGCATGTGGCCGGGTGGTGGTTCATGCCTGTAATCCCAGCACTTTGGAAGGCTGAGGCAGGCGGATCACTTGAGGTCAAGAGTTCGAGACCAGCCTGGCCAATATGGTGAAACCCCGTCTCTACTAAAAATACAAAAATTAGCCGGGCATGGTGGCACACACCTATAATCCCAGCTATTCAGGGGGCTGAGGCAGGAGAATCGCTGGAACTGGGAGGCAGAGCTTGCAGTGAGCCGAGATTATGGCACTGCACTCCAGCCTGGAGACAGAGTGAGACTCCATCTCCCCTCCCCCCCCCCCAAAAAAAAGCATGGGTCATGGGTTATTCAAGGGGTTGTTGAGTTGTTTATACATGATCTATAGATTGGAGTAGATTTTGGATGCATTTTGCTCCACATCCCGAATGAGGGGTTTGAAGCTTGAACTGCTCTGTTGATTTAATGCTGTGGTTGCTAGGGAGGAGGCCCCAGCAAAGTTCAGAATGTTAAAATCAAGTGTTAAAATATGCTGGGAGGAAATGGAGAACAGTTCTCAATTTCCATCATGAGAGCTTTAAGGATAGTCACTGGAAGAAAAAAAGAAAAAAAAAAAGCTCCAAAAATTAAAGTCAGAGATTTATACTTTGTACACATTTTGAATTTTGGAGAATGTTACATCTTCCTCCAGAGGTTTTGTTTTGCTTTTTAAATTAGCCAGGTTCTATGAAATACATTCCCTAAGGAACGCTGAAGTCATTTCCAATCAGGATTCTTGTTCCTAGTGCTCTGAGGGCAACAATTGTACCCCAGAACTTTCTCTCTTTCTTAGAATCTGCCATTTCCAGAGGCCTGTGCTTGGAAGGCAGGTGACCAAGTGGCATTCGGGTACCTTGCCGGAGAATGGATTTTAGTACCTGCTCTGGGGTAACTAGGGTTGCCAGTTCTGCTAGGCAATTGGTTATGCATCTGTTGCAGCTGTACACTTTGCGAAAGATGGACGATGGGGCATGAGTACAGAAACCTTAGAAATTAAAAAAGATACATTTTATATATATCATCAGGGAGATCTTGAGAAATTGCCATTCAGAGTATGACTGGGAGAAACAAGACTATTTTGAATCCACAGGTTCAAATGCGTCATAGAAGATGCAGGAAGTGGTATTTGGCCTGATGTTTCTCTCCGTGTCATTGACAACAACAAGGGTATGTGCTAAAACCAGACTGCAGTGCCTTCCTGATTTCTACTGAGGAAAGCTGTGCTTCTCGAATGCTAATGTGTACATGAATCACCAGAGGATTGTGTTAAATTGCAGATCTTGGTGCAGTAGGTTTGGATGGAGCCTGAGATTCTTGTTTCTTGAGCTCCCAGGTGACGTTGGAGCTACAGGTGCAGGATCCGCCTCCTCCCTCACTCTTGCCAGGAGAATACCCAACATCTTTCCAGTGTCTATCAGACTAGGCTGAGCACTTCCTCTGAGATCTGCTGAACCCTGGCTCAGTAAGCTTGCAGCACAAAGGAAGGAACCAAGAGGTGAAACCTCCCCTGGGAGGAGACGGGGTTCTCTGAGTTAGAATGGGGGAGGGAACCCGAAAGGAAGCAGGGACCCTGAAGGAGGGAGCTGGATGGAGAAAACAGAGCGTTAGAAAGACAAAGGACAGGGAGGGATGTCTCCATGGGAAGCTGAAGCCCTTTACAACCTCTACCTTCCAAAGACTGGAGTCTGCAAGGCTGTCCTTCCACAATAGAATTCAATGGTTAAATGAAATCTACTTAGGACTTCTATTGCTCACTCATGGTAATGCTAGTTTGAGCTACATCTGACCTTTCAATAAATAACTTTCTCCTAGCACCACTATAATCTTGTTATCATACCTATATCAGCAGGACACAGAGGGGTACCCACAGAAAACCCCTTCATTTTCTCTTACTGTTGTCTTTCAACCCCAGTCCTCCCCGGCCTTGGAAAGTATCTAGGGCCAAGTGCATCGCTTTTCTGATTACTTCCAGGTACTGATGTACATTCTTATCATCCGATATTACAAACTTCAAAAACAACCTGATCTCAAAACTGTCATCTCTCATCCTGTTTCAAGCTTCTCCTCTCCCTCTAGCTCAGACCAGACTCCTGCAGAAACCTGCATGGAAAGAAGGTGTGAACAATTCCGCGGCCTGCGCCGCTGCTCTGCTGCTTCGGGTTCAGGTTGGACTGGGAGAGGCCAGAGGAGCAGCAATGGGAGGAGCTTTTCACCTGAGCCGTTGGAATCTGCAGTTGGGAATCTGCCCTCTGTGTGACCCGAGTCCTAACTCAGCTGTCTGCTAGTTCCCAGGATAATAATTCCAACAAGAGCACTTACCAAGTAATGACCTAGATCAGCCCTCTTCTAGATGTCACAGGAAATGAACATCCTCAAAGCAACCCTCATTGCGGAGCAATTCAGAGTTGGCAATTTGATTTTTCTCGTTTTTGGTCTCATAAACGGTTCTCCCTCAAGGAAAGCTGTATAAGTTCCCACTAAAAGTGGCCCTTGCGTTGAAGACTAGTTTGCAGGCATGAGACCTTTTCCTGGGTTACTGGCAGCCCTAGAATTCGCCTATGAAGCCTCCCTGTCCTGCAGTCACGGGTCCAAGAAGACAGCTCAGGACAGGCATCCCCACATTATTTTTTGCTCAAGACATACAGATGCCTGGAAGTGGAACCATTCCAACTACTAAAACTTTCAGACCCCTCTTAAGAATTTGTAGGATAATGTCTACAAAGTACATTCTAGGTTTAGCATAAGATACCACGGGAAAAAGAAAGAGGAGACAAAAGAGAAGGAAGAACAGTCCCAGAAGTCCAACTTCAGAGGCTCCGTGGCTTTGTGGTCGGGCTGCCCTGATGCTCAGAGGACAAAGATCAATGTGGGGCCATGTGAGGTGCTGACCCCTTGGTCAGATGAGCTGGATTATATTGATGCTTCGAGTCCTGCTCGCAGAGTAAGAACAAACCCTTAATGCTTTGCTGCCATTCACAAGAGGGCATCAGGTTTTAAAGATTCTTTTGCCGTGGTTTGAATTGTGTCTCCCCTTCGCTCCCCAAAAAGATAGGAAGTCGTAACCTCCATTCTACAGATGTGATCTTATTTGGAAATAGGGTCATTGCTGTAAACTGTAAACATAAACTGATGTAATCAGTTTAGGTTAGACTGGAGTAGGGCAGGCCCTGAATCCAGTAAAACTGGTGTCCTTATAAGAAGGCAGCCCT